ATTTGAATTAAAGTATTTGAATTATTGATACTTTTTCGTGATTATGAATAAATTTTTGAGAAAATTTTGATGAAGTTGATTGAATATTCGATAATCCCTTGGTAGAACATCGTTTATGTATCGCTCACAATATAATTTTGTGAAACTAAGTCAAGTTTATTTTATTTGACAAATAGAAAAGTTTGATACTTAAATAATGTATTTTAGTTGGACATTGTTAGTGAGTAAAAATCCTACTCATATTACAAGTTATGAACAAATTCAATAATTTTTGTGCAATTAAGATATTGCTTTAATTTATATCATTAAATTTTTCGAATGTGTTAGACAGAGCGATGTTTAAGAGGTCAATTGCCATTATTAATTACACCGGCAAACAGAATCAAAAAACTAATTTGTTGTCAAAAACCCAAAACGGTGATTTTGAAAGTTTTTAACGTTTTGAGAAGTCTTCTTTATTAAAGCATTCTTGTTTTAAAATGATATTAATATTTGCTTGAAAACGGCCATTAGCTATATCAATTGAAAACAATAATCAAAAATTTCAACTTAATCAAAATATTCATAAGAGTTGACTTTTTTAGAACAAAAGAAAATTCACGCTCGAGTTTGTAAAAAAATTTTCCCATATAAATAAATTGCAGTATTGCAAAAAAGTATATATTCTTGTGGTATAACATGTAGATAAATAGTAGATTTTTAAAAATTAAACTTACAGACATTAATCATTCATTTTTTTTCAATAGATGATGAAGAAAAACCTAGAGGAAGAGGCTGTTTATCATCTCGTTGAAAAGGGGGCCAAGTCATTACCAGCATCTGTTACCAATTCACCCATTTCTTTCAGGAATTTAAAATGATTTTGAATGTTAGCTGTAATCTATACAATTGAAGTACTTGTTTTGCCAGGTAATCAATACTGTTTCATGATTGATTGGTTTGTAAAAATTTTAACTTATTTTTAGATATATTTATTAACTAAGTTTGGAAGGCAAAGGTTCACAATTTGTGTTTCATCAATTTATGATTGGCTCAGATAAGACTAACATTAGAATACTTCTGATTTGAAGAATCAAGTAGCCTATTATATAGTATTATCTAATTATTGAAAGTACTGAAATGGTATTTATATACATATTGTAAAATATTTTATGTGCCAAAGGACAATCTGTAGGAATGAAAGAACTGATTTAAAAATATTATCAGGATAAGCTTTACTTTTTAAGAAAGTTTTAAAGCGTCACTGTTTTGTGAAACTTATCAGGCAAGATTTATTGATATAATGTACCGCAACTACATAAATGTACCGTATTTTATATTAAATATGGAAAACATTGTTTCATAATATGTGACTATTCATCACTAGAGTTGTGTATCTGTAAAATTTCAATAATCTGCGTATTTAGGTAGTGTTCACTAATAATGTCTTCCCCAACCATTTGCCTTAGTGAAGTGTATGGAATTAGTTTTATATAATTGATTATTTAAATGTGCAAATAAATCCTACATCACAAAATTGATATTTCATTTGTAAGAGTTGTAGAGTAGTTTTAAGTTGCTCATATTTTTTCCAACTTCACACTTTCATAGACCATATTGTAAGCTATATTTAAATGGTAGATAATTTTGTATGTGAAGAATGCACATGTTTTCACAGGATAGCATTGGTTTGTATTCAGTTGGTTGACATTCAAACCTGATGGTTGGAATCTTACTGTGTTACTAACCCCATGGTATATATTAAGATAATGAATAAAAGACAAGTTTAGATCAGTAACCTCTGAAATTGTAAATAACACAAACGTCGTAAAAGGTAATCTGAACCTTTTCAGATTTTTTAGATGATATGCAGTTCTCATTAATCAAAAACAAATGAATACATGCATGTTTCTTAAAATCACCATCGATCCTTCAGCTGATCCCTGCCTGACTTACAAAATCAATATTTCTTCCATATTTTCATTGTTGGTTACTAATCAATATCTTGATTAGCAATATTCTGAGTTTGAACTACTGATTTAGTCTATACAACATTTCAAATTATTTGGATTTATTTGTTGAACTATATTGTTCATACCAAGATTTAAAATTGTCTAAAGATTCATCACAATTTCATAATTAGGACAAATTATTCACTGTGAATATGTGAAGAATTTTGGATTGAACTGAGATATTTAAATACATTCTAACTCGATCAACAACTTTCAGATTGAAGTATATATTTTCATTTTATTATATTATTTTTTTTTCTTTTATATTCAACGATGAAAGATATGTTTTTCTTAATTTGAAGGTCATATATAACAGGTACAAACGCTATAAAATAATAATTCAAATTAATTTCATAGAAAAAAATAAAACTCAAACTCTGCATGGAATTACATCACGCGACTTTTTTCAGAAATTTGCTGGGAACTAGTAAACATTTAAACGTTCTCGATATTGCTTATTTCCACCTAATATGTAATACAACCGAGGATCAAGGTATTCTACGAATTTTAAGAAAATAGGGTTTCTTCCTGTATACTTGCGCAGCGTATGCCACAAACGATAAAGAGTGTTTTGAGTTACAAATTGTTGTCAATAGTACCAGTGCAACTATCTTTCTCAAACTCAATACTCCAGTTTCAGCCTAAACACTCTGAGAGGTAACTTTCTTAAATAATTTTCAGGTATCTCTTCTGCAAGTACCTTCACTCTATATATATTCGTCACCAAGCCAAATAAATCCCTTAGGTACTCAAAACGATATAACATGTTAGTCTTACTTACATTTTTCTGGGGGTAGTTTCATCTTGGATGTGAATCCGATAATTACTTCGAAATCTTTTATTTTATATGAAATTTGAATGTTTCTATCTGAATCCATCTTAAAAAAATCAAAGGGAGTCAAATTACGCGGGTAAAAGGCAAATATAAGATCTATGTTCTTTATATCGATTTCAGCTTACTGCTTCAAATCCTACCAACTGTTCTCATTCACAGCTAATGCCATATCATGAGTAAAGCTTACAATTGATCCATTCAGAGTTAGATTTAGACTCAAACAGCCTACATAAATCTTATACAAAATTGGCCCCAGGGCAGTGCCTTAGGGCACCTTATATCTACTTTTACTATAATATTACCTACTTTGAGCTCAAATAAATCTAAGTTTTCCTATTGTTTTGTTCAGTTTCAGTTTGCCTACTTCCTTTGATAAAGCTATAGTGTTAGCAAAAGTTATCAAAAAGAATTTAAAGATAATTGTAAATTGGACGATTTTCTTTTAATATAATGAAAACTGATGAGGTTGAATGTTGGAAAATTTTACTGGATGAAAGTCCATAGTATTTCAGCAATGAAATGGCAAGAAAAAGAGTGTTTTTAAGATTATTATACACTATCATTTGAAATAAAATGGCCGTTTAATTCCAATTAAGGGTGTAATCTAATTATAATTACGAAACCCTTTATCAAATAAATATGTATAAACAAATCTAGAAAGCATTCTTTTTTATTTCAAACATATATCAGTTTTTACACCCTTACAACAGGTAGTATCATATTTTGCCTGTTGCTCTCGATATATATGTCTCTAGAAGCGTGGACAGTGTTTTGATTAAAACTTGTTTATCAATTTTCTTCAACCTAAGGAGATCTGTATCCCTGCATAGTTCAACCATTTGATCCACATATGCTTGTTTTAGGTAATCTTATAAAATTCTCAGAAATTATAAATATATTATTTGAGTTTCCAAATAAGTTTAAAAAAAGATCATATTCAATTGAAATCTTCTCTCTCGTTATATTTCACTATCATCTACCGACAAAAGGCGACGCAGTAGCTGCTTTCTGTATAAACGTTTTAAAGTTTCAATGACACTTTGGTCCATAGGTTGCAATATCGATGTTACGATAGGGGGCAAAAACTTAACCGTGAACTTTCCATTTTCTCGATTTAGTGTTTCAGCGGAAGGGTGCGTTGGTGCATTATCTAATAACAACAATACATCACCTTCTTTTCCCACTTCCTTTTGAAATTTCTTCACCTCAGGAATAAACGTATTTTCATACCAAGTAAGAAAAATATCTGTGTTCATCCACGCTTTTTGTTGGTTAGCGTAAGTTAACGGCATTTTAACATTTTTGAAACAGCGCGGATTTTTTGATTTTCCAATAAGTAGCAGTGGCAATCTATGTGTTCCCTTAGCGTTTGCGCAAACCATAACTGTAACTCTGTCCTTACTCACTTTGTGCCCCGGTGCTGCATTTTCACGACGCGATGCTAATGATCTGCTTGGTAGAGATTTCCAATTAAGACCTGTTTCGTCCGCATTGTATACAAAATCTAAATCGTATTCTTTTTCATCTAGAAATTCTTTTAATTCGTCTACAAAAGAGTCGGCCGATGCAACGTTAGCAGACAGTTTTTCTCCCTGAATCTCCAGTTCTCGAATTCCATGTCTAGATTTGAATTTTGCTAACCAGCCACAGCTCGCCTTGAAAGAAGTATCACCACCAAGCTTTTGATTAAAGTCTAATGCTTTTTCACATAACAGAGGTCCAGATATGGGCTGGCCGCATGCTCTCTTTTGTAAGAACCAAGTAAAAACTGCATTCTCCAGAATTTCATTTTGAGATTTTTTCATAACTTTACGTTGCGAGCTTCCATCTTCTTTCTCAAGCGCGTTGGTGAATTTCATTATAGAATCAGAATTCTTTTTAATTTCGGATATCGTAGAAGCTCCTACACCATATACTTGTGCCAACTTACTGCCAGTTTCACCATTTTTTAAACTCTCAATTTATTTATATTATAAAAATCAAGAATAAACCGAATCTATTCAATGTAATTATAGTATTATAATTATCATTGTTCCTTAAGGGAAAATTGATACATCTGGGAGGATGGGTCAGGTGTTCACTCACTTTCGACTGCATGTCTCAAAGACGACAATCCGAGCGTTGAAGGCTAGCGTGTTCGAATAAAAGAGTTGTTAGATATTGGTTGAGATGGGGACCTCGGTAGCTTAGTTGGAAAAGCAAAAGGGCGTACGTGAACAATTAAGACCTGGGTTCGTATCCCAGTCGAGTTCCAAAAATTTGGATGTAACATTCTGAATTTTCACTATAATAAAATAATACATTTCTGCATGTTCGTACGTGGTTGATTAGCACGAATATTTTTCTGTATACACACACACACACATATATATATATATATATATATATATATATATATATATATATATATATTTTGAAAGTTTTTAGCATTAACAGGCTTTTTTAATATGAATATTTTTCTGTCAATAGAAATAAACTTTTTCATATTAAAAAGCCTGTTAATGCTAAAAACTTTCAAAATAAATACCTCAAACAGGCAATAAATCAATTTCAAGAAATATATATATATATATATATATATATATATATATATATATATATATATATATATATATATATATATATATATATATATATATATATATATATATATATATATATATATATATATATATATATATATATATATATATATATATATATATATATATATATATATATATATATATATATATATATATATATATATATAGTTGAATGTTTCACGACTGTGGATATGTATTTTTAGTGTTTAATTGAGATTGAGAAAAATAAGTTATCTCTTTAGATTTTCCAAGCTTTCGAAATGTTTATTTTCTTCTTCAGGCTTATATATAATCCAGCCGTGAAGAGGTAAATAAACATTTTCGAAATTTCCCAAATTTAAAGAGGTAACTTGTTATAAAATTTAAAACACAAGAAATTATGACCATTCTGTGATTTGTTTAGCCTGCACGTAGGTCTTGTTTGTTTCTTGTGTCGTATATGTGGAAATCTTTATTTGATCTACTATTTCCAAATACAACTTAATTGACCTCAAACCAAACTTCTCAATGCAATAAAATCTTTCATCAAACCTAAAAACTTTACCTCGGCTGGCTGAGAACTGCATTCATCGCATGACTAACCTTTCTGTATCTATATCACAATCGCTCAGAAGAACATTATCCTCCATTAATTGCACTAGGTAGTTGTTCACGTAAAATTTTCTAATAATCAAATTTTTTCTGTGATAACTTTTCATATCTTATTTAATCAAGTCATTTCATGCAAAGAAATGACTTGCAATTTTAAGGCACTTTGAAATAAGCATCTATATATCAATTTAGTCGAAGATAAAATGTTTCTTTCAATTAACTAGAAGAGGAGGCCATATGTATCTTGAACACAACTAGTTTCAGGAGAAATATTACGTTTTCTATTTCTACTAGAAGTTGGCCTTTTTTTTTCATTAATTTCAAGTTTTTACAGGACATTATACGTGGATCTCATTTTATTTTTCAAAGCTTTGAGTATACCCGCTTTGTAATGTTTATACTCCCAGCTCATTGATGAACTACTTTATACCCGAATCCTTACTAGAAGTTTTAAATGTTTTTTTTGGGGAAAGAAATTTCAGAGGTACTTTCCAACAATTGATACATTACCCCCAAGCCAAGTTCTGTATGGGCTCTATAGCTATAAGTTCCTATTAATCAAACCTTACCTTCACTTACACTGCATACGTATATCCTGAGCTATGTAATCAGATAAATCTGTATCAGCGGCACGGGTGTTCTCAATTATTACCTGTTGTTGATTAATTTTTCAGGTAGGCAAACCCAAATGTGCCGACCAAACCACAAAAGCGCACATCATTCATGTCTCTAAAATTTAAGGACATATTGAAATCACCACAAGTTAAAATTGTATAATTCATTCTGCAATTATTCAAAAGTATCAAAACATATTTCAAAAAATCCTAAAAAGATCCAAAAGGGGGAGTAAATTAAAATTATCGTAGATGCGTCAATCAATTGGTTCTTTTCACCAGCATTATCAATCTCACAATAAGAGGCTCAGTGACCGAGCGACCCAATACGCTCTCGGCTTACTGGTTCTGGTGGGTTCGATTCCCACCGAAATCTATGGATCCAACAGAGCTATAAAGTCTCTGACCTCCGTTCTTAGAAAAATGGTGATGATATTAATCTTTGAAATAATAAGTAAATGATTGTAAGCATACAATAACTCTGAAGATTCAGAGCTTATCTGGAGATTCTTATCTCATAAGGTTTTGAAAAATCTCAAAAACTCATTAATAACGAGAATTATAATTAGCTCTCCTATCTACCTGGTTCTTAAGTTCCAGTCTACAAGTTGGAACAACCACACTAACAGACTGTGTAGAAATGTTTAAACTAGTTAAATAGTTATTAGTGTCCATACAAAAATTTTATATATGGTTCACATATAGACACTTTGAATATATAGTCTAGTCTTACATGGTTCTATCCATACAAATGTCTATACATATAAAATGTATAGAGATTTGTATGGATAGAACCTGTTGACAACCATGTAGATCAATTTTGAGCTTTTAAAAAATACAAAAACAAATGATAATATTCAATTGATAAACATATATACTAACCTTTGATATGGGATTTTTTTATTGCATGTTTAGGTATATGAATATAAAATAAATATATGACTGAGATTGAATTCTTGCTTAACTCTTGATGACACATACATAATTAAATATTGAATTAAATTAAACTCTTGGCTTAATGTTTCACGATTATATTTAACACATTTAACATTTTAAGACAAATTTAAGTTGTTAAATATAATCGTGAAACATTAAGCCAAGAGTTTAATTTAAATATATATATATATATTACTAACAGTCCAAAATAATAACAATACACACCTTAAAGGTTTCAAAAATGTTTCAATAGAACATTCATGTTTCAAAATGAATAATACAAATAAAATATTCAAAACAAATATTAGATTCAAAAACAAAGCTCAGAATTCACAAATGATCTATATCTATACTATCATCACTCAACAAATTTAAAACAATAACAATCAGTAAAAAACATATGAAAAATTGTATTTTCTTTAGACAAATCATGTTGTAATTTCTAAAGAACCTCAGTATGCAAAACAGAGGTCCTTGTTATAATTTAACTTTTCCAGGTTTGGAAGACATGCAAAGTTGATCATCGGTGGAGGACCACACATAAGAACAATTGAATTATCTGCCGGTGGTAATAGATGATCATGAATCATTTGTTCATTAATAAAACCAGTACTATACTTCCATCCGGGAGGTGCATTGTCAAGAGTATACCACAATTTAAATTGATCTGGATATGATACTGCAACTTCTTCTAATTCTTTTCTAACTAAGATGTCTCTTTCACTTTGGTTAGCAAACAAAAGAGCCATTTTAATCTTATTAGTTTCATTCTTAGTTATATGACGAATGAGTTGCAACATTGGCGTAATACCTGTACCTCCAGCAATCATTGAAATACTATTTACTTTCACAATCTCTGGTGGATCTTTTCTCAGTTTCTTTATTATAAATTCGCCATTTCCCATGTACTGTAACCTACCAGAGGGACCTCTCACTTCTATGCAGTCGTTAATTTTCAGGCTTTCCAAAAATTGAGTCATTTTTCCCCCATCTGGGAAACGAGGGACAACATTTTTGAAATACACTTTTATAACTAAGTCAACATAGCCCTTATCATCATCTGATGATACAGGAGTGTATGACCGGATAACTAACTCATCACCAATTCTAGCAACGATATTGATATGTTGACCAATCGGCAATCCTAAGACGTGATCTGATGATGGTAAACCAAACCTAAACCTTCGAGTATCATGCGATAATTCTTCTTTTTCTATTAAGGGTATTTTGTATTTCATTTGGGGATCTTCAAGCAGAACTTTTCTTTTTTTGGACTTTTCAGTGCCATTTTTTGCGGCGAATTTGGAATTATAAATACGGAGCACAATAACTCCAGCGATAACCACACCAACACTTATTGCGATAGGTACAACAGTTCCCCACATCTTGAACGTAACTGCCATGATAACCGATAAATGCTATAATCTAACGATTTTATAGGTTCAATGTCAAAGTAATTAAAATCGCGTACAAGTAAAATAAATTGATATATGTACTGATAAATGAAATCTAATCATTTAAGTATATATATTTTGGCCACTTGAAGTCGTGGAAGTTCGAGCTCTATAGCGAATATAATTATATACAATATAGTTCGTTACTCGTACTTAACAATTTCGTCACGCGTACTTAATAATAATTTCGTTACTGGTGCTTTCATAACTATTCCTAAATATTGAAACCTAGAATTATGATAATTATGTAACCTCAATTCACAAATCATTTACATCATTCCACTTTATTTCACATACTTGTACCCATAGAAAATATATTAACCATCAAAACCCAAAATGTTTTTCAATTCGTTCCGTCAGAAATTCATTTGGAACGGCATATTTCTAGGTATTAGTTTCTAACCGTAGGCAGTATCACAGAACATAACTTTATTTGGTATATTCTGTGGGCCGTATTTTAGATACGGACACATGGGACGGGTATAATTTCAAATCTATACGAGTTCCGATTGTTTACCGTTTATTATTTATTGAGTGTCGGCCAAGTTTAAGATATCAATTAGTTCTTATATTTTTATAAGATTTTATTAAGTTAGAAGTTATTGATTTTATTAAGTAATTATTTTAAGTAAGAACTTATTGATTTAGCAGACTTCATAAGGCGTAACTTCGGTCAAATTTTTGTCTCAGAAAATTAATCTTTAGGGGGTAAAGCGAAGGTTATTGCATCAGGACGAAGAGCTGAACTTATTTGCACGAAATTTCGTGGTGAGATATAGTAATCTGGAAAGAAGTTTTTTTCTCAGAAAATGAATGCTAAGGAAATGAAAGAAGGATATATTTTTTATTGAATCGAGATTGAAACAACTGAACGCATCTGAAATGTTTTGAAACACATTTTAAAACTTAAGCCTAGCGTTTCAATTTATTTATTTATCGTATGGTAACAATAATAACACAACTAATTCACAAACATCAAGATTTTTTGCATAGACAATAGGCATACTATTGTCTATGCATAATATTTTTTGGCATAGCATTCGTTGCCTTCAGGAAATCTTCAAAAAAAGTCTC